GCAGGCTCTGTGGGGCACAGTGAACCAGTGTAGCAAGGATGCGCGATGCTGATGCAAGGGCCTTGGACGCCCATTTCGAAGCTTGACGAGCAAGGCGCGGCCAGCGAAAGCGGCGAAGGATGGGCCGAGGAGGCAAGGATGCAAAGGGTACCCTTGGGAAGGTTGTCCATCCTTACTATGCGGGTGGACTGTAGTGCTAGCTAGCGTGGACCCCAAACCGCGCGGTCTTTGCAATCGAGGTTGTGCAGTCTCTGTGGAGCAGCACATCTGTGCAGTCTACGGGGTGCAATATCCGCCACCGTGCCGGCACGGAGTGGGCGTGATAGAACGCTCGCCTGTTGTCTTGCAGGCTTTTGATGGTTGTTTTTGTTCTCGGGCCCCCACCCTCCCCCCAGCACCCACACGTGGAAATTGATTTCTAGCTATCTTCTCGGCCTCTACACGGCCAGTACAGCCTCCAGGACGGATTCTCAGACAGCCACGACACCAAAACGGCTCCAGGCGGCGCAAGACGACTCAAGACGCTCCGGAGACGCCCTCAAGACGGCCCGAGAGGCCCCAAAAACGCCAAGAGAGTGTACCAGGAGAGCCCAAGGACGCCAAAATCATTCGAAATATGTTGACATTCTCGCCGATTCAGGTTCCCGAGCGCCCAAGACGGCCCAAGGGGTCTCCAAGATAGCTCCAAGACAGCCCATGAGGCCCCCGAAGAAGGCCCCGATTCGGCCCAAGAGGACCCCAAAATCCCGAGAGGCTCCCGAAAGGGCCCCAAGGCAGCCTCAACACGCTCCGAGAGGGCACCAAGACCGTACAGAGAGGCCCTCAAGACAGCCTCCGAAGGCGTCAAACGGGCCAATCGCCTCCACAAGACAACCCAAGAGGCCCCAAGAGGCCCCATGAGGACACCAAGGGGCACCCGAGAGAGCACTCACGAGAGTCCCAGGAATCCCCCAGGAGGGCCAAAGGGGCCCCAAGAAACTTGCTCCTCATCGTCCTCATGTTTTCCCTCTCCCCCTGTTCCTCCTCATCCTCCTACTCCTCCGCCTCTTCTTCCTCCTCTTCCTCCTCCTCCCTACCTCGCGGACGAAAGCGGTGTCGGAATCACGACCGTCCCCAGTTCAGACCATTCGCTGAACGTTCACGGGGTGTGAACTGTACCTCCTTCTTACCTCGAATTCACGACCCGTCCTTATCAGACCACTCTTAGGGAATGCGCTGTTCCTGCACTCGGTCTCCTTGCCGTAGCGCTGTAGAACAGGCACGGTGGCGGGGCTGGCCGCAGGCAGCTGGATATGTTGCGATATATGTATTGTATAATCTGTGGTTTGCAGTAGATGTGGTACCCACTGATTTTCATCGCGGTTCGCGCTGATCGCACTCGCATTTTCTGTACTGCCAGATTCGGTTCTCGCCCTGAGACGGCGGTATCGAATAATGAACGTCATCTGGAGAGCCAACCACTTGATCCTGCATCTCCTTCCCCTCTTTCACCTCGTCCATCCTCCTCCTCCCCCTCCTCCTCCTCCTCCTCCTCCTCCCCCTCCTCCTCAACCTCAGAAGATGCAAGCGTCCGCTTCCCCCACCTTTGGGAGAACAGGTATAATATATCAGCGGCAGCGCTAACAAGAACGATAAGCGAACCATATGTTTTTTTCAGGCATTCCAGGGACGCACAGGGATGCTAAGTGACGATCGCTGTGCACGCTCAGGGATCCCAGGGATTCCAGGGATGCGAAGTCACGATCCCTGAGCAGGCTCAGGGACCCCAGGGCTTCCAGGGATGCGAAGTCACGATCCCTGTGCAGGCTCAGGGATCCCAGGGGCCCCAAGGATTCCTAACTCTCCAGCAAAACCGACCTGAGGATCCACCAGCGATCCCGCGCTCAGAATCCCTGGGATCCCTGAGCCTGCTCAGGGATCGCGACGTCGGTTGTCAGCAAACCATATGATGTCTCAGGGGTCCCAGGGATTCCAAGGATGGCAAGTCACGATCCCTGAGCAGGCTCAGGGATCCCAGGGATTCCAGGGATGCGAAGTCACGATCCCTGTGCAGGCTCAGGGATCCCAGGGATCCCAGGGATTCCTAATCCTCCAGCAAAACCGACCTGGGAATCCACCAGCGATCCCGCGCTCAGAATCCCTGGGGTCCCTGAGCCTGCTCAGGGATCGCGACGTCGGTGGTCAGCAAACCATATGATGTCTCAGGGATCCCAAGGATTCCAGGGATGCCAAGTCACGATCCCTGAGCAGGCTCAGGGATCCCAGGGATTCCAGGGATGCGACGTCACCATCCCTGTGCAGGCTCAGGGATCCCAGGGATCCCAGGGATTCCTGACCCTCCAGCAAAATCGGCCATGGCGACTTCGCAAAGATTTGGGGGGTTGGGAATCCCTGGAATCCCTGGGATCCCTGAGCCTGCACAGGGATCGTGACTTCGCATCCCTGGAATCCCTGGGATCCCTGAGCCTGCTCAAGGATCGTGACTTCGCATCCCTGGGATCCCTGAGAAATCATATGGTTTGCTGACAACCGACGTCGCGATCCCTGTGCGGGCTCAGGGACCCCATGGATTCTGAGCGCGGGATCGCTGGTGGATCCCCAGGTCGGTTTTGCTGGAGGGTTGGGAATCCCTGGGATCCCTGGGATCCCTGAGCCTGCACAGGGATCGTGACTTCGCATCCCTGGAATCCCTGGGATCCCTGAGCCTGCTCTGGGGCCGTGACTTGGCATCCCTGGAATCCATGGGACCCCTGAGACATCATATGGTTTGCTGACCACCGACGTCGCGATCCCTGAGCAGGCTCAGGGATCCCAAGGGTTCTGAGCGCGGGATCGCTGGTGGATCCCCAGGTCGGTTTTGCTGGAGGATTAGGAATCCCTGGGATCCCTGGGATCCCTGAGCCTGCACAGGGATCGTGACTTCGCATCCCTGGAATCCCTGGGTCCCTGAGCCTGCTCAGGGATCGTGACTTGCCATCCTTGGAATCCCTGGGATCCCTGAGACATCATATGGTTTGCTGACAACCGACGTCGCGATCCCTGAGCAGGCTCAGGGATCCCAGGGATTCTGAGCGCGGGATCGCTGGTGGATTCCCAGGTCGGTTTTGCTGGAGGGCCAGGAATCCCTGGGATCCCTGGGATCCCTGAGCCTGCACAGGGATCGTGACTTCGCATCCCTGGAAGCCCTGGGGTCCCTGAGCCTGCTCAGGGATCGTGACTTCGCATCCCTGGAATCCCTGGGATCCCTGAGCCTGCACAGCGACCGTCACTTAGCATCCCTGTGCATCCCTGGAATGCCTGAGAAATCATATGGTTCGCTCATCGTTCTTGTTAGCGCTGCCGCTGATATCTTATACCTGTTCTCCCAAAGGCGGGGGAAGCGGACGCTTGCATCTTCTGAGGTTGCGTTAGAAAAAGCATTCCGCTTGCAACACGTGACTCGGGAAGAGGAACAGAAAGGAGCAGGGATGATGAGAAGAGGATGCGTCTCCAGCTTCGTGGAAGAGGGAGAAGGCGTAGAATGGGTGCTGGGGGGGGCTGTCCATATATATATATATATATATATATATATATAGTACGTACATGTGGTGCAATCTATGCGGTGCGCAAGAAATGTGGTGCACGCGGCGTGCTGCAATCCGCGTGGTGCAATCTATGTTGCGCGACATATGTGGTGCAATCGATGTGGTGCAATCGATGTGGTGCAATCGACCGCGGTGCGATATATGCAAAGCAGCGCAGCGCATTGCGATTGCAATGTTAAGCTATGTGAAGCATCGCTGAGCATTCCAAAGCGAATATATGCAATGCGATTGCAATGCGAAACGCTGCAAATGAATGCAAAGCAATGCGGTTGCAAGGCATCAACATGCGAAGCAGCGCAAGGCAGGGCACAGCAACATAACCTAACGTTACGCATCACGAAACAATACACAGCGAAACAGTGCAAAGGAACGCACAGAAAAAAGAACACGGTGCGATGCGACACACATCAATCCGAAGCAACGCAAAGCAACGCGAAGCAATGCAATGCAATGCAGAGCAAAGCGACGCGATGCGACACAGTGGGATTGCAACGCCAAAGGAAAACACGGCAATGCAAAGCGGCGACGCGGCGACGGCGGGCACATCGCCGCCAGACCGACGCCCAGGCCCAGACGACGGGCGGCGACGAGGCAGCAACAGGGCGGCGACGGCAACCACATAGCCACCGCGACTGGCGGCCAGGACCAGTTCCTTCGAGCACAAGTAAGAATCCCCCGAGTTCAAGCACTACTTTGGGAATTCCTTTTGAAAGCTTCATGCAAATCTCCCATGCGGGGTCTCTGGAACTCTCGACCCATCTCCCAGCGGCTCATTCCCCCAAGCGGTTCGTCTTGAGCAGGGACCGACCGTCCCTGCGTTCCTGAACGACTGGCGCAGCAGGTTCGCGGGACAGAACAATGCCCGAAACACCACACATTAACGTTCTTAAGATATGACGCCAGCTTCTGGAGACAAGAATGCCTCGGCCAAAAATGCTCTCAAGAGTAATTACATGAGCCACACATGTAGACCCAGAGGCTTCACCACTGCGGAATGCTCGATGGCCCCGAGGCCCAGAAAACGGCGACGACAGGCCGAGATCATAGGACAAAGTAGCGCCGGGATTGAACCACAGCACGTCGGGGGTGCCAGGGAGGTCATCTCAGGAGCGTTGACAATGTGCGGATTCTGCCCCCCCGCGCGCGAAGCCAAATCTTCCACTCAGAATGGGCCGAGGGCCACCAGACAAGAGACACGACTGACGACAAGCGCAGAGCCCATCCCCCAGCCATGCACTCCCCCTGCTTCCCCCCCCTCTGAACTCCTCTCCATGCTCTCATGTGTTCTCCTCGTCTTCCTCCCCCTCCTTCACCCTGCCCTCTCACCCGCTCCCTCCCCCTACCCTGCCCCTCCTCATCTTCCTCGACGGCACAGCGCCCATCACCGTGGTGCAAGCTACTGAAGCGGCGGCCCACTCATAGCAGCGAGTAGTCGGCGCCGCTCAGCACGGCCTTGGCCTTGCCAAGCGCGTCGATCTCCCCACTGCGCGCCTGCTCTCTTGCATCGTAGTACTGGATCAGCCAGTCGCACTCGGCATGGAGTTGGGAGAGGTACTTATCCGTCACCATCAGCTCCTTGGCGGTGCTGGCCTTGTCGTCCTTGGCCGCCTGCAAGTCGCTCTCCAAGTCGGCCTTCGCGGCGGCCTTCGACGTGAGCGCCTTGGAGTCCGTCATCCGCTTGTCCTTCGCGTCCGCGATTGTCGTGTCGTAGTCCGCCTGCGAGTCCTTCTCCTCCGTCTCGGCCTCGGTCATCTCGCGGTCGAGATCTTTGACCAGCAAATCGAGCATGGCAATGACGCCGCCGCTCTCTTCCGTCTTCTTCGCGTATGCGCTCCAGGTCTCCGGCGGCGGTGCGGCAGCGACGGTGCGGTGCGAGTGCTCGGACATCTGAACCAGCGCCGCCGCGCTGGTCATGTCACGCTCGATGGCGCCCTGGGCGGACAGCTCGACCTTTGCCGGCGGGTTGTAGAGCTTGGGGTCCGCGACCGCGCTGTGGCGGCTGGTGCGCGTCGGCCCCACCTTGCCTGTTCGGTCAGCTCCACGTCCTGCGGAACAGTGACTACGTAGGCACCAATTGGCGCATCGAGCCCAACATGGATCCCACTGCTGCTGCACGCCCCCCCCATGGCGCTTTTCGCCCTCCTGGCGACACGCGGGCCAGCAAAAGCACTCGGCATCGAATCGGTAAGTTGTTTCGAATCGGAGCTTGTGTCGGATCGGGGTGCATCGGCACAATCGAAATCGCATCGGATCGGCGGAACCAAGCTACACAACTACGCCGTGCCAACATCTGGCCGTATCGGATCTCCGACAAAACAAACAATCGAACCGGGTCGAGCCGAGCAAAATCCGTACCAAATCGGATCGATCGAATCGGAGAGGGCCCTGCTGCTGGAGAGCCCCAGGGATCCTCCCCCCCAAAGCCCACGAGCCCTGTGTCCCCTCCATTAGTTCCCAGCGCGGGGGCGGATACGCGCGACAGCACAACTGATTGTAAAACTGGTTGAGCCTATTCTTGGCGAACAAGAGCAACTCCTTCGCGGCCCCGTCTGCAGCCATCAGCGCCTTGTACTCCTCGTGCTCGCCCTTCCGCAACGCCGTCGCCTCTGCGACGCTCTTGTCCAGCGCCGCAATGCCAGCCTCCAGCGCTGAGATGTCCTCCGCAGCGGCGCTGATGCTCTCCTCCGCGCTCGCGATGGCGGTCGCCAGGTCCGACACCTCACGCGTCAGCGACTTCTTCTTGTCGTCTGTGGAATCGAACTGCGCGCCGCAGTACTCTTTCTTCTGCGCGTCATCTGTCTGCTCCTTCTTGAGCAGCGTGACCTGCGCAGACAACACCACCATTATGTGGCGGAAGTCCGAACCCACCCCCACCAACCATCGATTCTCTTGAATCGATGAGAGGCGGGGGTAGGGTTCGCATTCCGCCACGTCATCGCCGAATTCCGAACCCCAGTCCCGCCGCCCATCGAGTTGCCTGAACCGTGGATCGGCGAGGGTCGGGTGTTCGGATTTCGCCGCCGAACCATGCCTGGCCAGGGACACCCTAGGCTTAGGTCGGGCATGTCCCCTTACAGGCGGATTTTGGATGAAAAATCAAGAATAGATAAAACATCGTCCCCATACTATGTTTTGCCTGTTTTTGAATATTCCCCTGTGGAGGGACACGCCCGCCTTCACCCTAGGCCATGGCATGGTACATACGCCCTCCTGGCCGAGGCCGCGAGGGTCTGCATGCCGTCCTCGGGCCCAGGATGGCCCTGGCCAGGCACGGTGGTGTGCAAAGGCCCCCTGCGGATGACCATCTCGTCGATCATCTTGATGACCCTCTCGAACCCGACCTCACGGGCAGCGAACACGTAAACAGATCCTCGCCCTCGTGGTCTGGACTCTTGGGAGCGATCCCGCGGGTGCGCGGTCGCACGGATACGCTACGCGCGGGGGGGCATCTGCGAAACAGCGCCCCACATCCCGGGGTCGCGGCCCCAGGGACGGGGCCCTCGAGGCTGAGGATACGGATATGTTTCTGAGCAACCAAAATACTCAGGACCCCTGATCCTGGGAGGGGACCTCAGTTAGGAGGGCCAAAAGCATTAGGGATAGGAGGTCTTTCGAACCAAACCGCCCAGATGTAATGTCCCTAATGGAGAGACGGGGACCTCAATGAGGCCACGTCTTCCCTGTGTTATCAGGGTCAGGGGTTCTTTTGTTCTCGATGCTTGCTTCGCCCATGACGACCTTCTGGCCGCGAAGCGCCAACACCAGGAAGCCGAGGCGGGCGTGGTCCGCCCCGCTCTTCGCCTGAGCCTGCTGCACCAGGGCCACGGCGCGCGCGCGCTGGCTGGCGGACGTGACACCGACCTCATCGGGGACCCCTGACCCAGGCAGGTGGCCACACGTGAACGTTACCCCCGCCCACAGCGATTTCTAAGGGGGCCGGGGGGTTCACTCCGTTTCGGGAGCTCCCGAACGATGTGACTCCCCCGCCCCACATTTAGAAATCGTGGGGGGCGGGGGTAGGGTTCGCACGCGGCCACCGACCAGGTCAGGCAAAAAACCCGGGTCAGTCAGGCCTTGCAGGATCCTGCAGGATCCTGCAAGATCCTGCACCCAAGCCCGGGTCAGTGCCCCCCTGGCTCTGCAGGATCCTGCAATGGCTGGCGCTCTGACGGACCCCCGCTTGCGCGGACCCCCGTCTCAAAGCCCCCGAGCGACCTGCACCAAGCTCGCGCCGGGCGCTGGGAGAGTCTTCTCCGCCGTCCCCGCGTCGGGAGACGCCCAGGGTCCATCCCACCAGTCCTGGTCGGACCCATCCTGAACCTGGGATCGGTGCGCACGCCGTCCGCACCAGGCCAGGGAGGCAGAGAAGCACACCGATCCTGGGTTCAGGATCACCCCGGCCAGCATCGGCGAGGTTGACAGTTGACGGACTGCGACTGTGGTGGCTACCGGGCACACCCGATCAGATCCTCCCATCAAACAGCGGGTGTACATGCATGTGCCCTGCAAGATAGCAGCCAAGGGGGATTGAAGCAGTTAGGTGTCCCATGAGGGCCACTTGCGCGCGCGCATGTCGAAAACGGTCAACCACCATCGCGCGCGCGCGCGCCCGCCAACTCTGCCAAATAGTACCATGCGAGCCACATTCGCGCGTCTGCGCGCGCGCGTTGAAACCCCTCCAAAACCATTGGTCCTGAACCACGTTCAGCAGATATAGGTTCTAGCACGTACAAAAGCCCAACAGAGATCAATGAAAACAGGTCTGGGCTTCAGACAATAAGCAGGCGTGTGTGCACTTCCCTCCGCCTCGTCATCATCACAAGCATCAGTATCATCATCAGCACCATCGCCAACATCATCATCATCATCATCATCAGCAGCAGCAGCAGCAGCATCGTCATCATCATCATCATCATCATCATCATCATCATCGTCATCATCAACAACAACATCAGCATCAGCACAATAAGCATACTCATCATCAGTATCAGCATCATCATCATCATCATCATCAGTATCATCATCATCATCATCATCATCAGCATCATCATCATCAGCATCAACATCAACATCATCATCATCATCATCATCAACATCAACATCATCATCATCATCGGCATAAGCATCATAATCATCATCATCCGCATCATCATCGCCATCGTCATCGGCAGCAACATCACCAGCACCATCATAATTATCATCAGCATCATCAGCATAATAAGCATCAGCATCGTCAGCATCAACAGCATCGTCAACAAAATCAGCATCAGCATACCGATCATACTCATCATCACCATCATCAGCAGCAACATCATCAACATCATAACCACCATCACCATCGCCATGGTCATCATCATCATCATCATCATCATCATCATCATCATCAGCCTCATCATATTCATCATCACCATCATCAACATAATCATCAGTATAATCAGCATCGTCGTCATCATAATGATGAGCATCAGCATCGTCATCGTCATCGGCATCATCATCCTTATCCGGTCCTTATCATTATCAAGATCGTCACCACCGTGTTCAGCACCAGCATCCTCAGCACAATCGTCACCTCCATCGTCAACGTCTCGGCATCACCATCATCATCACCGTCATCGTCATCATCGCGGCCGCCGTCAAAACTGTCATCGTCAATGCCGTCGCCCTCATCTGAATGTTGTGTGCGGGCACTTCCTCATCAACTTTATCACCAACACCATTGGCATCATCATCGCAAACAACATCGTTGCCACCACTCCGTGACGTAGCACTGTCAGGCAAACACCAAGATTACCCCGGGAAGCTCCAGCAGTTAACCCACCCGGGTCCCTCCAAGCAGCGAATCCATCCCGGGGTGTCAGCGGCGGTGTAGGGCGAATCCCTTGGGATTGAAGAGCTCGAGCGCGTCGTCGTCGTTGAGAATCTTGATGGTCTCAGTGAGGGCGGCGAGCTCGTCGGTGCGCGTCTTAACGCGTTCCTCGTACTCCTTGTCCTTCGTAGAGCACCCCGATTCCAATTCTGCAAGGAGTTTCTGATCCTCGATCAGCGCTGTTTCCGAGCTGCTCAAGTCGCCCTGCATCTGGACGATGGACATGCCAAGCGCCCCGCTCTTCGAGGTCTTGACCTCAACGGACTGTGTCAGCGTGTCGATCTCCTTGGTCTTTGCGGCAACCAACGCCTCAAACTCTTTGACTGCGTTGGCCTCCGTGTCAGAAGCGTCTGCAAGGCTCTTCGAGAAACTGTCGCCCATCTGCTTCAGAATCCCGGTCACTTCCCCGCTTTGGGGCACGTACGAAGAAGAGTGCTTCCCAGACAGGAACGAGAGGAGCGCCTCGCGGTCGTCGTCCAGGATGGAGTCGCCCTTGGTCAGGACGATCTTGCGCAGCAAGCTCGCCGAGGTAGTCTGAAGAAAACCGCCGGCCATTCCCTTCGTCAGCGCGGCGACTGCCTGCTTGATCGCGGAGATGTAACTCTCGAGCTCTGCCTTTGTGGCCGAGAAGTCCGCGGCCTCTTTCTCTCTGATCGAGGACGCAGTGGCGACTGCAGTCTTGGCCTCAGCGCGCTCTGTCTGAGCGTCCTTCAGACCCTGCTTCACCTGGACGAGCTCTTCTTGTGCTGCTTTAATATCGGAGCCAAGCTGGGTGCCTTTGGTGCCCGCGCCGGAGATGCTTGCAGAGAGATCTGCGACCCCAGTCTTACAATAGCATGAGAATTTCTTGTACAGCTCTTCCTCCTTGAGGGGGCCAACTATGTACTCATGCCGATCCTGGCCAGGCCCATGATCGACCTGGGATCGGTGTATATACGCCCTCGTGCCTTGGCCAGGAAAGAGTACACACTGATCGGCAGCCCAGGATCGGCCTGGCCACGATCGGTGTGCCTGTATAGTTTTGGCGCCCCGGATCCTTCTCGCCCTCGGCCTCCACCTTTTTCTGCATCGACTGCAGCATCGAGACCACCTTGCGCACCGGATTCGCGGCCACCCTCGTGGTCGACCGCAGGGAGGCGGCCTGCGCGACGAGGGGGGGCGCCACCAGCAGCAGGAGCATGAGCTTGAGCGCGGCCATGCCAGTCGCGCGAGAAGACCACGCAGAAGGCACGTGTACACCAACACTGAGGAGGAGGAGGAGGAGGAGGAGGAGGAGGAGGAGGAGGTGGCATGCCTGTCAGGGCCATCGTGGGCCGTGGGCGGTGTGCACGCCCTGTGCCGTGGCCGGGAGGGTCTATGTACCATCCAGGGCCCAGCAAGACCCTAGCAAGGAGGGAGGAGGAGGAGGAGGAGGAGGGAGGAGGAGGGAGGAGGAGGGAGGAGGAGGGAGGGAGGAGGAGGGGGAGGAGGGAGGAGGAGGAGGGAGGAGGAGGGAGGAGGGAGGAGGGAGGAGGAGGGGGAGGAGGAGGAGGAGGAGGAGGAGGAGGAGGAGGAGGAGGAGCCAGGCACCATGTTGTACAGATACCTTCTGCGGACAGGCTGCGTTAGTGACTAACGAAAGCAAATGGGAACCCTTGAGCTCCACACGGCTACGGATGTGACCAAATCCTTCCCCTTCTCCTCCTCGAATATGGGGGTATGCCTAGGCGGGACCGTATCATCACACAACCCCCAGACATCTTTCAACATACAACGTCCCGCGCAAATAACAATGATTTAAGGCCTTGCCGGATCCGTGTGCGGGGAGCTTGCGGCCGAGGCGAAGGTGAGGAGGAGGACGAGTATCGCGAGGAACGCGAGGATGAACAACAAAACATGCCAACTCGCCGCTCCTTCAACACAATCGGTTACGTTATCCACTGGAGGCGAGCAAACTTCATAAATAATCTGTCCGAGATCCGCGCGGATGTCTTGGATTGACATTGGGCACCCTTCCCTGTTGCGCGGAGCGCACCATGGGCGGCGTCGGAGGCACCGCTAGGGTTAGATTGGGTCGAGTATGGCAAACTCGACCGCCCCATAAACTCCAAAATCTCCCCGCGACTCTTGAGTCTCCAATATCCAGAGAATCTTCCCGCGAATCTCAGAACCATCTTCGCGCCGAACAAATCTCAAACGAAATCTCAGAACACATCTTCGCGCCGAGAAAATCTCAAACGGAATCTCCAACAAATATTTGCGCCTTACGAATCTCTAACAATTCTCCAACAGATCTCCAACAGATCTCCAACAAATCCTTCTTCCAACCGCCCGGGGCGCACTCCACTGCCCGGCCCTGTAAGCCTCAGAGTAAGAACCCTTTTAGGCAGAGCCTAGGTATGGAACTATCAAAACGTAACTGTCGGCACTGTCATAACTACCGTAATAACGAACACAATGATCTTACAACATAAAAGCCGATGTGGCAAACCAAAACGATCCCAGCCAGAACTGTCCCAAGAACATGTCGTGCAAACCAAAAAAAGGTTCTTTGGCAATTCTTTGGTAGGCCTATAGGCGAGCCAGGACGCTTCGCCAATGCTTGAGACCACTTCTCCAGGACAGGTTTTTCGTCCTGAATCATTGTTTGACGCTCCCCAGGCCCAGCGAGAGCCCCCGCGGGGCCGACAACGGCCCCAAACCTCCCGCCCTGATTTTTTTACGACGCGATCATGTCTGGGATATTGTGCCGAACGCCCCAGAGTGAAGGGGCCCTGGGACACACACAAATACATACAAATAACAGGATAAACCCATATTCTCCGATATTTTCAGGTGTTTGTGTATTCCCCCCCACTTCCCATACTTTCCCATCTTTTCTGGGGAATCGACGATGAATGGTGACTGTGTTCTTTCCCTCCTGACAGAGAGCAGCCCGAGGTCCTCCCTGGCGTACAGGCCGGCGTCCAGGCCGGCGGGGCACCGCGAGGCGAGCTCGCGGCAGGGCAGGTGCGCGGGCGCCAGGCGCCAGAGCGTGATCGGCTCGTAGTAGACGGACAGGATGTGGTGCCTGCTAGGGCGAAGAGAAATATGCACGTGCACCGATCCTGGTAAGGCCCATCCTTGACCCAGGCCCATCAAAAACGATTCAGGACGAAACTCCGGTCCCCGGGAAGTGGTCCGGACCTCGGGGGCCCGCGCACCGAACAAATTGGAGCAGCCAAATGTCTGGAGAAGAAAACGGGGACCATGACCAAGACGGAACGCGAAACGTCGTGTCCATCTCGGTCACCATTGCGCTTGGTCAGCGTCGTTTCGTGGATCTTCCTCGCGAATCGGCGGCGGTCAACATGGTGGGGAGCAGGCGTGGGGAAGGGGAGGGAGGAGGAAGGCGGGAGGAGGAGGAGAGAAGTCTGAGGGAAGGCTTCAGGGGGGGCGGGTGCGACGGGGGAGGAGTAGGGAAAAGGAGTACCCACACATCGATCCGAGGTCTTGATGCTTTCAATCCTGGGTCCCCTGAATTCCCGACCCACTCCCCAGAACCAGCTTTCCATCCCGAGCCGTTGTTTGACGGCCCCGGGGCTCGGCGAGGGCCCCGGGGGCCGAAGATGGCCAGAAACCTCCCGTGCGGATGTTTGTCCACGGCGCGAGCACGTCTGTGGAGAGAGGGGGAGGCAAGCTAGGCTTAGGTCGGGCCTGTCCCCCTACAGGGGGATTACGGGCGAAAGAATACAAACACGCAAACAAAAACAAATGGTTAAGAAAATGATAAGACAAATCGTCCCCTGATTTTTTCTTATTAGTTTTGAGTCTTCCTGCTGTAGAGGGACAGGCCCGACTTAAAGCTAGGTGCGCTCGCGCCACATCTGACATCCGACCCATCCTGCCCGTCCTGTCCCCCTGCGGGCCCGAGTCCACCCGCGGGCGCGAGTCACAGCGGATGTGGAACTCCCCAGTGGAACCCCCTCGTGCTGTGCACGGTCGGTCAAAGGGGGGCTGCGTACATACGAGGAGGGGAAGAGGAGGAGGGTGAGGCGGGGGAGGACGAGGAGGAGGAGGAGGAGGAGGAGGAGGAGGAGGAGGAGGAGAGGAGGAAGGAGACGAGGAAGAGGAGGAGAGGAAGAGGAGGAGGAGGAGAGGGGAGGAGGAGGAGGAGGAGAGGAGGAGGGGAGGAGGAGAGGAGGAGGGGGAGGAGGAGGTGGCGGATGAGCGGGAGAATGAGCAGGAGGAAAAGGAGGAGGATGAGGAAGGAGCAGGAGGACAAGAACAAAAAGCGGCCGCAGGAAGTGGAGTGGAAAGGGCGAGAAGAGCAGGAAGACCAGGGGAAGGCGGAGGAGGGGACCCTCTCCTCCTCCTCTCTCCTCCTTCCTCCTCCTCCTCTCCTCCTCCTCCTCCCTCCTCCTCCCTCCTCCTCCTCCTCCTCCTCCTCCTCCCCCCTCCTCCCTCCTCCTCCTTCTCTCCCTCCTCCTCCTCCTCCTCCTCCTCCTCCTCTTCCTCGTCTTCCTCCCCTTCTCCTCCTCCTCCTCCTCCGCCTCCTCCAACGATCAGGAAAGACTCGGATCCAGAAAAGCGGCCTGCGCCGGGGCGGGAGCGCCACTCGGATCGAGGGGGGGGGCTGAGCGCCGATCCCGAAACGAGGTCAGCGCTGCAGCGGGGGCAGCATTTTGAAGGAGTGGAAGCACTCGAGCGACAACAACACCGGGAACACCGTCTGGTGAAATCTTGCGTAAGAAAGCCATGCGCGGGGAGGGCCGAGTACCTCCCGAACGGTCAGGGGCGAGAGGAGAGCAGTATTCAGAACGTGTGAATGTGAAGACGTGAAAGACTGGCATCAATAGACGTGTTCGGGGCGACGCGCGAGTTTTTCGGGGATCTGGCCCCCGTCCCTGGCGCGCGGCGGCGCCGCCAGGGGGCCCATCGCCGATCCCAGAAATCCGCGCGGAACTCCCACAGTTCAACACTATGCCATGCCACCTTCTTCGTGTGCGGAACGATGTCGGCCCTTCATTCCATCGCACACACTCGCTGACCCCAAGGATGCTCGGCGGACGCAGGCGCGAACAGCGCCGTGTCACCGCACTGCCCGCGCGCGTCGCGGGGCGCCGCAGGCGATGCGGGCAGGCCTGGGCAAATCCGCGAGGTGCCCGCGCCCGCCGCGGCGCTGCGTGGGTTCGCGGGCTCCCACGCAGGACGTGAGGCCCGCACCCCGCGCTCGGGGTTTGACCCACCCGAGCCCATCCCGTCTCTGCCCGTTGCCGGGTCGCGCTGCGACCAGCGCCGAGGCCACCCGAGGCGCCCGCGCCCTCTTGGCGCGGCGCTCGCGCCACGGGAGGCGGCGCAGGCTTCGGCGCACACCCAGCGCTGTGGCTGCGAGCGCACCTCAGCGACGGGTGAGCGGGGTGCTCAGGGGATGTGTGAAGACCGAGCAGCGCCAGTGGGGGGCCACCACTGCGAGGGGGCGCCCCTTCCTCGAGGGCGCGCCACCTCCTCGAGGGAGTGGGCCCTCGAGAACACTCCTGCTCCTCTTCCTCTTCCGCCTCCTCCTCCTCCTCCTCCTCCTCCTCCTCCTCCTCGTCCTGCCTCCTCCTCCTCCTCCTCCTGCCTCCTCCTCCTCCTCCTGCCTCCTCCTCCTCCTCCTCCTCCCTTCCAGAGCGGCCCCAAACGTCCACACACCTCCTCGAGCTTCGATCCATGGAGCCTCGATTTCCAGGAGGAGCCGGCGACCACCTCTAGTGTTATGTTGCCCCCAACGAACTTAAGTAAGGACCGCATCCCTGAAATAGTTTCGAGCGCCTGGAAAAGTGTCGAGAGAGTGTGGAAGCAGTGTCGAAACAGAATCGGGCGAGTGCTTCCCATGGCCCGGCACGGGGAAAAACCCTTGGGGTTCGGTACCTTTCTGGTGTTCGGAACTCTTTCTGGTGATCAAGGCCACCTAGTGTTAAGTCGGGCCTGTCCCCCTACAGGGAGATTTTGGAAGAACGATGAAAAAAGTAAACAAATACCCTGAAATATTCAAAATTGGTCCACAAATCGTCCCCATACTATTTTTTACTATGTTTGAATATTCCTCCTGTAGAGGGGCAGGCCCGACTTAACCCTAGTGGAGAACCCCTGGCACTGCCCGAAGCGAGAGGAATGCTTGCAACGACATGGCTTCGGGGCGCACCAGCCCCATCTGGTGGGACCGGAGGCCTGGCATACCACTCAGGTCGGGCATGCCCCCCTTCAGGGGGATTTTGGGCGAAAGTGCAACTGCAGCCCAAAAATATTCAAAGATTGTCAAAAATAGTCGATAAATATCAATAGTATTCAAAACTTGGCAATAATAGAGAATTGTCAATAACAGTCAAAAAAGTCCCAAGATTACTGTTTGGCTATTTTTGATTGCCCCTCCTGTAGAGGGACGCGCCCGACTGAACCGTGGCCTGCCACCCTGATGTGCCCCACGAGAAGAGGACACTGCCTCGCGTGAGACGGCTCAGTTGTGAGCCTCGTGCCTGATGGTGCAGTGCAGCCATGGGAATACAGTTGGAAAGCCCCTGCAGTCGAGGGGAACAAACAACATAATCATGCACTTTGCGAGGTCCGCGCGGATAATTTTTCTTGGATCGGCGCTGGACCGCCCTCCCTGGCGCGCAGAGCGCGCCAAGGGCGGCGCCGGAGGCGCCTCCAGGGGCCCCCAGCTCCGATCTGAGAAGCCCGCCTGGACCTCCGAACATGTACGTTCATGTCAGCGTTGGTTTTTTTCCGACGTAGGCTCCCGGGGAGAGGAGGAGACGAGGTCCCGACGCCAGGAGGAGAAGGGAGGAAGGAGGAGACGAGGAGGGAGGGAGACGAGGAGGGAGGGAAGGAGGAGGAGGAGAGGAGGAGACGAGGAGGAGGAGGAGGAGGAGGAGGAGGAGGAGGAGGGAGGAGGAGGAGGAGGAGGAGGAGGAGGAGGAGGAGGAGGAGGAGGAGGAGGAGGAGGAGAGGAGGAGGCGAGGAGGGAGGGAGGAGGAGGAGGAAGAGGGCAGGACGCCTGCCGGGGCAGGAGAAGAGGAGGATGTGCTCGCGGAAGGCGGCGTGCGAGCAGCACCTCTCCGCGGCCTTCGAGGGGGAGCAGCCCAGGGAGCTCCGCGAGCTCTGCGAGTCGCGGTTGTTGAAGATCATGTCGAAGAACTTCGCGAGGGAGTGGGACATCGCCGACGCCGTGAGCATGTTCCTCGGAAGCCGTCACGAACAGGGACACCCAGCGGAAATTGCAGGCGATGCAGAGAGAGAGAGAGAGAGGGAGAGAGAAGGAGAGAGAGAGGGAGAGAGGGATAGAGAGGTCTGGAGGGAGAGAGAGAGAGAGAGAGAGAGAAAGAGAAAGAGAACAAACTGAAAAAAAAGATAGAGAGAGGGAGAGACAAAGAGAGAGAGAGAGAGAAATGAAGAAACAGAGAAAGGAGAGAGGGGGGAGGGCGGGCGGGAGGGAAAGAGAGAGAGAGAGGGCGAGGAGGGGAGGGAGCGAGGGACGGAAAAAAAGAGAAAGAGAGAGAGAGGGAGTGAGAGAGAGTCTGACGAGTCGTTCGTTAAAACTTCAAAGGAGGCCCGTCCGAAAGGACCTGTTCGCACTGCAGCACCGCACCCCGTCCCTGAGTTCCCTATGGTGTTCAGGAACTTCGGTGTCCGAATTGCGACCGGGGGAGGAGAAAGTTCCCTGGGGCACCGGCAGGCAGGCCAGTATCTGATGGGATGTGTCTTCTGTAGAATCATCATGGGGAACAGGGGCATTCAGCGGAAAAGAGAAGAGGGAGAGAAGGGGGAGGAGGAGGAGGAGGAGGCACAGGAGGAGGAGAAGGAGGAGGAGGAGGAGTGCACGTACCCCAAGAGGAAGAGACGAGGGCAAGCGGGCAAGAAGCGAGACGAGGGCAAGAAGTCTGTCCGCTCCTGTCCGTCGACCGCGCGTCTACTTCCAGAGCGATGCTTTGATGGCGCGTAACCCTGCAGCTCTCGTAGCTGGGGTCGGCGCGGCGTCCTTCATTTTGTAAAAGAAGTGAATGGCGAGCGCAGTCCGCTGATTCGACCACGATAACGAGAGCTCGTTCGCAGGATCAGACGGAAAGGCTGCGGTGGGGCACAAGCCCCAGGATGTAAGTGAGCTGCGGAGGAGGGGCAGGTCGGGGGACCAGAGGAGGCGCGGGAGGACCGAGCGGGAGAGGTAGAGAGGGAATGAATCGGGCGCTGCTGGGCACCCTAACACACACGATATCATCGAGAGAACGTGCATGCGGTGGGACTTCGTCCGTCCACCTGCGAATGTCTTATATACTACCCAGCGCCAGCACAGATGAGCGGTGCACATGGCATTCGTGGGAGCAGCGCATCACGTGGCAGCCTCTGGTGGCAGAGGCGGCTGAGAGACGCCCCAGGCTGCGATGCGCCTCTCGAGCGTGACTGAGAGAAGCACTGAGAAAGAGGCCCGCTGCAGCGTGAGCGCGACCGCGCGCTGCAGCCTGGGGCGGCGCGGTGGCTCAGCACTCGGGGCCTCGCGAATTTCACGGGCAGCTGCGTGGTTCGCCGCCGCCACGGCAGCTGCTGGAAACGGAGCGGCAGTGGAGACTGGCTCGCATTCCCCTCGGAGCATGAGCGTGGCAGAATGAATGGCGACGGCAGCTGCTGGCATATGTGGCGGGCACAATTCCGCCATGGTAATAAGAACTACTTTGCGAAATGTGTCAGGCAGGGGGCTGCGCAACTTGTGGAAAATGCAATGTACACGGCGGGCAAGCTCCTGAGCGGCGGCCAAGGGCTCAGAGTCAGCGCGCTGCGTGTAGAACGAGAACGGGAAGAGGCCAATGTCGCCCGCGCCAACTCCCAGGTAGCTCTTGTCGTGAATGAGCACGCCGTCGACTGTCGCGATGAACGAGGCGGCGTGGTGAACGAGCGGGCCCATGGCGATCGCCCATTCCAAGCCGCTCATGGGGCAGCCCTGGGCCGCGCCAGTCTCAATCGGAAACATGAAGTGGCGAATGCTATCAACTTTGAGGAAGCAGTTGGAGGCGAGGCACAGCTGGCCAGAGAAGTTCATCGGGCACTCGGGGACGCTGTTGGATTCCAGCGGCGCGAGGAGCCAGACGCTGCCGAGCGACGGGAGCGCAGCCGCAGGTTCGAAGCTGGTGAAGACGGGCTTGGGCTTGTCGGACTCTGGATGAGCTCCTGCGCGTCGCATCTCGGCGGCGGGGTTGATGATGTGCTTGGTGGGGATGCAGCCCACTACCAAGCCCTGATGCATGTAATAAGTCCGCTCTGCCACAGCGGATTTGGTGGGGATGTTGGTTTCGCCTGCGATGGCACTGCTATCTGCGTGCTGGAGGGGCGGCGGGCGAGTGCCCCCAGGGCGGCGGTCCGTGGTGGGCACGCCTATGAGGTTGACGCCCTTTGGCACGATCGCGAAGTCAGGGTCGTTCAGGACGAGGATGAAGACGGGGTTGAAGCAGACATGCGAGGCCAGGTCCTCCAGCGGGCCAATGGGCACGCCCGCGGCGAGCCAGGCGCGGCACGGCAAGAGGTCCAGCCCAGACGCAGATGGAGTCGCGCGAAGCAGAAAGCCTCTGATGTGCTACTTGATGAGCGCGCCGGCGTCAATGATGGGATGGCTGAGCGAGAGCTCGACAATGTACTGCTGGACCTTGATGACAACGACGTGCTTGTGCTTGAGGACGGGGCTCCAGTGAGCGCGGAGAGCACCGACCAACGCGCAGCTCTCTCTGGCTACTCCTGGGTGGCCCTCGGGATCGGTGGTTTTGATTCCCTGGATAACCCGACGGCGCTTCCAGGTGTCCCAGAGAGGGGCCCTGCGCAGGGGAGATCGGTTGAGCTTCCTGAGTCTCTTGGGATCGGCGGCTCCTAAGGAGCCTCGCGGCAGCTGGGCTGCACGGTGTGCCAGAGAGCGCTGCCGAGCCTCGAAGTCGCGGTGCAGCGCGGCAGACTTCATGGTGAGCTCGGCGGCACCCGCGAGCGCGATGTGCCCGACGCCGATGCTGAGGGACTTGGCACCAAGCTCGGAAGCGGATTGTAAACGTCGTGCTGGGCGAGCGTCCTGGCGCCAGCCCGCCCAAAGATGGCTAAACGCGCCACGTGGCCTCCGCTGTGTCCGCGAAGAGCGCCTGGAACGACGTGGGGATGGCGTCGCGCTCAAGGTCGCGGAAGGCGGCAAACTCGAACGCCTTCTCGTTCCACTCCAGGATGGCGGGGTCGGCTTGTCCCTTGACGTCGAGGCGCGCGACGGGCATGGCGTTGCAGTGGATCTCGCCCTTGGCTCGATGAGCTCTCCGTGACTTTTGAGGATGTCGGTGTTGAAGGGGCTGGAGAGGTTTCTTGCATTGGATCTCGGTACGAATCTGCTTAGGCGACTTGTCAGGGTTGAGGAAGATGTCCGTTGGCGTGCCCGCGGTGTCGACGGAAGTGAAGCGCTTCCATCTGCCTCCAGCGTCGCGGAAGGCTCGTGTGAGCGCCAGTGCGCGCGGGGTGGCCACGTCGCGCCCACCTTTGACTTGTAGCACAAATCTGCGCGCGGGTTCGTCTCCATGAAGCTCGACGGCGTCGGGGCCCAGGTTGGCGGAGGCGATGCACTCCTGTAGGTCGTTGAGGAGCGCGTCGGGCGCGATGGGCCGCTGTGCCCCGATGGTGAAGATCGAGGAGTCGATCTCGCGGTCCCAGTCGGCGAGCTTGGTAAGGTCCGCGATCGGCGCCTGGGCCCCGGCGAGCGCGAGGGTCTCTCGCATCTGGTCGATATGCATCCACATATTCTTATGTTCCTCTGCTTGACGGCCATGTTCTCTACGAGTGCGTGCGACGACGTCATGAAGGGTGTCGACTCGTCGTTCGGTAGCTTGGACTTGCTGGGCAAGAAGTTGGCGAAAGGTTTTGCGTGAATCATTGAGCAGGACGTTGGGTTGAGCTTGGAATGCACTGGCAGCGTGTGCGACTTGAGCTTGCGTGAGATCTTGAAGAGCTTCGTCGAGTTCGGGGCCCAGACCTGGGAGGCGAACGGGGTCGCCTGGCGTAGCGGCATCAGTATCGGCGGCGGCTCCGACGGCGGCAGCTCCTCCAGCGGCTGCTGCGCCTCCAGCACGCCATGGGTCAGCAGCAGCGAGAGGGTCGTGGCGTAGAGCTTCACCTTGGAGTTGCGGCAGTGGCTCGGTCCCTTCACCAGCTTGAAATTGGCGTGCGTTGACGGTGACGGCGGCGCGGGCAGGGTCAGCAGCTTCTTCTTCTCCAGTGTCCATGGCGAAGTGGGGCGGCTGATGGTGCGCACGAGCTGCGGAGCGGCAAGAGCGAGCAGCATGTCCAGCTGCTCGCCCTGAGCGTGGCGCTGCCTGTGTAGCAAGGACGGCGTCGCCGAGCGAGGCCAGAGCTGCGCGCCCTGCAGCTGATCGACCATATTTATCAGCACGGTCTGGGGGAGCCCGAGCAGCACGATCTTGGTCGAGTCGTTCACGTTCTCGTCGACGGTCTTTCCTTCTTCGGCTAGCAGATGGGCACTTCGGGAGGTAGAACGTTCTTCGCTGGAAGAAGACCTGGTTGAGACTGTGGGCTGCCGTCGGACTGACTGCTGTTCTGCTTCAGGAAGTTGATGTCGAGAGCGCCAGCCTCCAGGGCCTTCGCGGAGCCACCACGTGGCAGCTGCTGCAGCTGGGGAACGAGAAGGTCGACGTCCAGCGAGTTATGGAGAAGAACGACGGCGACGACAGTGAGGCCGAAGTCCAGCTGGTGCTCGGCGACGGAGGTCGGGGCGCACGACAGCGCGATATGGATGGCAGCCTGCAATGCCAGCACAAAGAGCAGGAGTGGGCGGCCGCACGCCCCTGAGTGTAGCGGCAGATCGCTTGGGTGCCAGCTCACCCCTGGTGGTGGCTGGAAACAGTTGGGGTCAGGCCTCGGCTCAGACGTCTCCATGCGGCCGCAGCGCGACATGGTGACTTGAGCCAAAATGGCTACGGAAGGAGGAGGAGGAGGAGGAGGAGGAGGAGGAGGAGGAGGAGGAGGAGGAGGAGGAGGAGGAGAGAGATCCCGACGGACGAGTCCGTCGAAGCTCCAGGTGGGGCCCGCCCGAGAGGACCTGTTTGCACCTCGCTCTGGGCTTGACGCGCCCAGGCGAGGGCAAGCGACGGGGCGCACCTCAGGATGGGGACTCGTCTTCGTCCTCGGTCCACGGTTCGACGTCCTGGAAG